GCTGTGCAGAACGCGTGAGGGATTGATTCGAGAAGAGCAGACTGGGTTTTGTTCAGGTTGTGGGTGCACTGATCATGTGTTCATCCTTCGTCAGTTGATGGAACACCACCCCACACGTATTGCAGGGCAACAATCGTTACGTTTCTTGATATTAGGGTTGCCTTCGATTCGTTGGTTAGAACTGTGCTCTGGAACTGTCTGTTAAAGAGAGGGGTGCACCTGAGAAGTTTGTGAACAGTTAAGAGGAGGGAAAACGGACATTTTAGTATATCCATATTCAGGAAGAAAACCCACTCCCACAAATATTTAGACTTCGGATCATCACACCCCATCAGTGCAAAGGTATCAGTTGTTTCAAGCCTTCTTAGACGAGCACACTCTTTGACGTTAACGGAGGAGAAGGAAAAAGAAGAAGAAATATCAAATATTACAGAGACTCTGAAGCAAAACAACTACCCAAAGAACTTCATCAACAAAATCAACACTAACATTAAGTATGGCCGAAAACGTATTCCGAAAACATGGACCTCAACAGTTGTCATTCCATATAGAGCGGAGATGTCAGACGATATCAGAAGAGTACTCAGTAAGCTCAACACTGGAGTTTTCTTGAAAAGATCAGACACACTGCAAAGTAACCTTGTCCACAAAAAAGATCAAATCCCTTAGGATTCTCTACCTAATTGTGTCTATAAAATATAATGCTTGGGATGTGATGCGATATACATCGGACAAACATCACGAGAAATCAAAATCAGAACAAATGAACACCGTAGAGCCGCCTCTGTTCGACCACCGAGAAATCCAGTTGAACTAGAAAAGCTCGAAAAATCATCAGCCATAGCTCGTCTACACGCTACAGAATTAGGCCACAAAAATGATTTTGACAATATTGAAATAATCCAAAAACATTTCAGAAATCACAAAGAACGTCTCATATCATCAGAAGCACTTCATATCAAATGGAATCCAACTTGTCTGAATAGGAATGATGAACTTTAACAAAATCAACACGAATGTGATAAACAATTTCATGATGTAAACACACTTATCAAATCCAACAATCTACCCCTGGTTCTGTTATCTTTACCAGTTGGCCAAGTTGACAAGGAAAAAATGACCCCATGCTGAGGAAAGATGGTTAAGTTTGGTAATATGTAAGCTGTGATTTTGTAAACTCTGGTTTAATAATACTACTTTGATAAAGCTATTAGCAGTAGCATTAAATAGCGAAACGTCAGTAAAAATAGAACAATATCGTTTTGCTCGTTTTCATTCATTGGGAAATACACGAAAACCTTCATTATAATAAAAAGTGGGTCAAATTCAACTTGTTACACGCCTAACCAAAAAGTAGAAATATGCAGGAGAATAGAAAGAAAAAAAACCCATAACGAACAAAGAAGATACAAAGAAATTCATAACTTAGTGGGAAATCTATAAATATATGACTATAGACGCCCGTTGTGCGTCGGTGGTATAGCGGTTAGGACGCTCGCCAACCATCCACATGGTCCCGGGTTCGATCCCCGGCCGACGCACTCCTTTACCTCGCTGAACCAGAAATAATGCTGGTAAAGCGGAAAGGTTGGGCATGAGACTAGCAACCCCATCCTGTTCAATAAACAGTGCTACAGAAACTTCCAGCCACTAGCTTGAAGCCCTATGTTCCACTGGGGAACGTGAAGGACAAAAAAAATAGACGCCCGTTCATTAGATTGACTCTCATTAACTTTCTAACAATGTAAAACACTTCCAACTAGCTTTGTTTGAGATCAGGTGTTTGAATAGTGAGTAAAACCAAATGTTCTCAGTTATGGTATTCACAAGATTTATCTCAGAAGTGCAGCAACAAAAAATATTTCTTAAAGAAAGTAATCTCTTTGAAACATAAAAAACCGCATATCACTTGAAGAGTCACTACAATTTAGAGAATTTCGAATTATTGGATAAATCACACAGTGAAGCAATACTCTTGAATTAAAATACTAATAGTAATGCGTGACACAACCTGACTGTCTGATCTGAAACGCACAAATCCCTATGCTATTTCCTACTTATCTCCTTTAAGAAATGCACGATGTTTGGTTAAAAACCAATTCTGAAAAAAGTTCATGTGAGTATACTTTCGCCCCGTGCGTCGGTGGCATAGTGGTTAGGACACTCGTCGACCATGCACATGGTCCGGGGTTCGATTCCCGGTCGCCAACGCACTCATTTACCTCGCTAAGCCAGAAGTAATGCTGGTGAAGAGGAAAGGTTGGGCATGAGGCTAGCAACCCCATCCTGTAAAATAAACACTGCTACAGAAACTTCAAGCCACTAGCTTGGAGCCCTATGTTCCACTGGGGAACGCAAAGAAAAAAAAGTATCTTTCGACCCGATGATGAAAGAATGCAGGAACTTAGTGGCAGTTTTAAGTTGAGAATCTCAGAGACAATCATCTCATCTATTGGGATATGTTACTATCCACAATTCTGCTTTTTCTCAAGTTTGGTAGAAACTTACGAATAAGCAGATTGTAAACATTTTTAATTTAAAAAAATACTCGCAATACCATTAGAAGTCAATATTTGAATAGATTAAAACAAACTGAACCAGAGAAATTATAGGCAAAAGAATGATGGAGGTGGTTTGGTAGCGCAATTTTTAAGTAGGCCACTGCCATTGTGATTATTATTTACTGGGTGACGATGTTACGAACACAATTTATTGTGTTTTACGAGTTTGACCATGGATTGATATCAGTTAGAGAACCATTGAAAACCATCCAGAGAGAACTGCCAGACAACTGTCTCATCCTAGTTTTGAGAGTCATCGGCAGTACGCACCCACACCCACTGGGGTTCCAACCCAGGACCTTCCGGTTATAAGGAAAGCTCGTGGCCAGCTCATGAATAATAACTTCCACCAATTCGCGCGACCACCAACCAGTGTCATCGGTGGGACATCCATCCTTACACTTGACATCTGGATGGACCTCTCTGGTTACGACTTCTCACCAAAACTCCGAGAAACCCCGTCCTGTAGCATCAGACAAATATATGATTGATAGAAATCGGGTAAATTTAAATAAAGAATTATCAGTTTGACATTCATCCAACTCATGGTGCGTGTGTATCGGTCTTTCAGTAGGAGGATTCTTGCCGGCCACGCGTACGTCAGTACGCCTATTCCTAAGCCTCGCCTAGTTTACTAGCAAATAGTATGTTGGGAAAAATAGGGCTGTCAGACTAGAATCCTCACACTGTAAAAGACCTCTCTCATGAGAACCGATAAACACAGCATCAATTGATCACGGACTGATATGAGTTGGAGAACCATTGAAAACCAGGGAGTACTGGACAGTTATTTCATCCTAGTTTGGGAATCATTGGCAGTACGCACCCACTGGGATCCGAACCCACGACCCTCCAGTTACAAGGCAAGCTAGCTCGTATGCCATTCAGCCACTGGGACCCGATTCCTCAATGGCCAGCCCATGAATTCTAACTTCTACCAATTCATGATTTAGCGCGACCCCAACCATTGTCGTTCTTGGGACATCCATCCACACACGTAACATCTAACTGGACCTCATTGGTCTCATTCGTTTTTCTCATAAGGGTGGCATAATTTTCCAGATATCTAGGTGGAGTGGTGTTGAATTATTCCTTTTTACACGTATTCTCAGTTAATCGACTGACAATGAGAACTATTCAACCAGAGTTACAAAGTTGTATATTGTTACAGTTGATACAGTATAATTGTGGATAATAATAATAAACTCTGTTCAAAACCTTTTCATCCAGTAAATATCGTAGAGTCAGGTAGGGAGATGCAGACTTCCGGGTTGGGGCCCTCGGGACTCTAAGAATCAATGGCTGGAGACAATAGGTGACATGGCTCAAAATCGTTGTCAATGGCGCAGATGTATTCAGTCTCTGTAACCTTTCATATTCCTTTCTACCATTACTCATTCTGTTTCACTCTTATACTTATCTAAATTCTATTGATTCTCTTCTCTCATTTTCCTGTCTACCTTTGTGTGCTATTTGGAACGTGGCAACTGGAACTGCTGCACTTCTGCGCCAAGTTCTATGTTGAATCCAGCAGCAGCAAATATCGTAGAATAAATTTTACACCACAGTGTACTCAAGTTTTACACATATCTCCAGATAGCCAGTGGTGACTGATTTACAACATAGAACTGCATACACAAAGGTGCAACAGCATTTCAATTTGCCACAATTCATGTAAAATACAAAGGTAGACAAAAATAGAGAATAGAGAGAGGGAAATAAGAAATTTTAAAAAACGACAACACAATTATAATGAGCAGCATTGTGATGGGGGACTATGCAGAATGAATGCATTTGCGCCAATGAGAACAGCGGTTTCAAGCTCTATCACCAACAGTATCAAACCATCGGTTCTTAGCATTTGAACAGCGTCAAATCAGACAGTCTACATCTTAAACTAACTGTTGGAAACTTCACAGATTGATGCCAGATCTCCAGATTGGACACTAGTCAGTAACTAGTGTGATATGTGGGTGTGTCTAGTCCTCTGTTTGGTGCAGACTGAATTCTATCAGTCAGTCAGGTTTGCAATGTGGCCACCATGCCACTAGGTAGCTCGACATCACGGTACACTTTGAATTGTTGATGTTAGGTAGTTGGAGGCAATCGGCCACAGGAAGCCTTGCCTCACCTAGGTTTCGTGCTAGTTGGTACTCACCAGTCAGTCAGTTAGCAAGGCGTATCTGTAACTGCCTTGAAGGAACAACTCATGTCCTTTCTGAGATTCAAACCCGTGTCACCACCCAGTGCCACCTGCAGTCAGAGACGACGCTACCACTGAGCTGGCTATTCGGGCTCGCGACTGACCTTCTGTAGGACTATATCTAAACTCTAAGCAATCGTATAAGTGAAATTTTACCGGGGAATGATACTGTTTAAATCTAATATTATATAATACCAGAATAAAAATAAATTTATTTGATGCAATGAGTAACTTACTCTTCTTCGCTTTTGGTGGATTCCATACATGCGTTGACTTGATTTGATTTGACGCTGCTGTTACTGTTGTCGGGAGAGTACAACTAGTCGAGTTTGAAGATTCCCAAATTTGTGATGAATCTGTTTGTTGTGATAGAGCACCAACGCTAGGAGTAGTCATTTGATGCTGCTGCTGATAGTGTACTGTTTGATTTCCATCTTTCAATCCATTCTCTATTGTGAACACTGTTCGATCAGAAGGCAAATTAGACGATGTTGGAGTTGGCAGATTCGATTGTAAATATGGCATTTGGCTTCCGACTGGATTCAATACACTCATCACATTAGTTGTTGTTGCTGCTGTTGTTCTGCATTCCATCTGACTTGGATATGATGCAGTCGAAGGATCATGAAAGGAATAAGTATTGTCAATTGTTTTATTACTATTATTATTATTGTTATTATTACTGTTATGATCTATCGAGATCCAATCGATTTGTGCTCGTTGTTGCTGTTGCTGTTGCTGCCGCATTGAATCTTCCTGAATAATCATATGCTTTGATAACATTTGTTTGTATTTCATGATTTCAAATTTTTTTAAATTTTATCTTTTTGATAAATGAATTCCAGTCGAGGCTTTTATTATTATTATTTTTCTTTCTTTCAAATAAGTAATAAGGAATAGAGGAAATAATAAGAGAAAATTATAGTTTTCAAATGATTTGCATTCACAATCAGCAGCGGAGATGAGAAGTAACGAGAATTATCTACGGTATACGTATCTGTAAATATATATATATATGTGTGCGTGTGTGGGCGGCTGTATAGGTGTAATCTCTACAAATCAATATTTATATTTGTATGTAGTATATATGGTTAGAATATATTTCCAGGTCAAATGAGTCAAGCCTAATTTTGATTGGTCAATTGAATATGATACAAAATTTCAACCAATGGGCAATTAGGATGTGTATTAAGGGCAGCAAAGAAGACAAACAATCAATCAAATGAAGGTAGAGATTCAAGTGAAAGGTCAATTGTAGAATTTTTTTAATCAAGGCAACGCGATGGATACAGTTAATCATGTAGAGGTTATGACGTAGGATTCAAAAAAAATTTAGACGCCCAAAAATATAAGGAATGAATAAAAGTTGAAACAAACCAGGTTACGTCGAGAGGGCAAAAGAGGAACAGTGACGTAGAGCTCGGAGAGAGAATCTCAAGAAATTCACAATTACAAGTTCGCCTTAACCTCCGTCAAAACTCTGGGAATTTGCGAAGAAATTTCAAAACATCAAAATGCCTACAGAAAACAACGATTAAAAAAACGCAAATTATTGAGCAAAATAAACATTTAAAAAATATATGGAGGGTTTCATCATGAGCTGACATCAGTTACGGAACCACTGGAAAACCTGTGAGTACTGGACAGCTGTTTCGTACTAGTTTGGGACTATTCAGCAGTACGCGCCCACCGGGATTCGAACCCAGGACCTTCTGGTAACAAGACGAGCTCGTATAACATTGAGCCACTGGGACCCGATCCAATGGTCTTTGAATTCTAACTTCTGCCGATTCACGACATAGCGCGACCATTTCGCAATGTCTTCTTAGATGAGTCACTGCCTCATCTTCAACCTACTGTACCCTACTGGTCACGGCTTCCCACTAGAACCCCAGGTTAACTGCCTGAATGTTGAGCTCAAAGCAAAGAAGACGACAATCACGAGAACATCGATGAAATCAACAGGATCACCAGCAAAATATAAACAAAAGAAGGGAAGAAAAACAAAAGCAAATAATAGAAAGAGGGTGGATGTAACTAAGGCCAAAAAGAAAAATTACAAAAAACAAAATTTACTATAGTTTGGTTTCTAAGGATTTGTTATGTCTTTTTACGATTTGATCAAACTAGGATGAAACAGCAGCTGCACAGTAATCCCTGGATTTCAATGGTTCTATAACTGATATCAATCCGTGACCAACTAGTGAAAAACAAAACAAGAATTTCAAAATATTGAGATAGAAAAAACATTATAGAAATGCACAGAGCACAAAAAAGAGAGATTAAAAACAAAACGGGTTATCCAAGAGGGAACGCAACTCGTAAAAACGAACAGATCAGCATTAAACTATAATCGTTATATCGCAATGCAAATTGACAAATAATGCATGGCTCATTCCTAATAAAATCACGTTCAAAATACGCATTAAACACTGAAAACGGACTTCAAAAAATTCAAATAAAAAATTCACCCACAACCGGAAATATTATCCAGCATCGAAAGGAACAACAGCAAAATTCACGAAATACTCAAAATAACTATAACGACAGCGGTAGTTGTTGGCTTGCTTGCTTGCTTTCGTGCGTGCATGCTTTGGTGACTGGCTGCTTGTGATTATGTTTGTGGATGTGGATGTCTTCATGTGTGTGTGTGTGTGTGTATGTGGATGGATGGATGGATGGATGAGAGTTGTGTATCTGCATGAGTGTTGGATGCATTGGCTATATTGATTGAGTGTGGTTATTTGGTGTGAATTGTGAAATGAGTAGTTTAATTTCGGTAATGAGTAGTATATGGCGTGACGGTGTAGTTGGGTGAATTGACGCGAATTCGGTGAATAGAAGCGTGATTTTGCCATTGTCTATGCTGAGGCTAGTGTTGATTGGTGTTTGTGAGAGAATGAAGTGACTGAGGTGTTGGTTGTATGCGAGTGTGTTGCCTGAACAGTGTAATGCATGCAAATGTCTTGATGAGTTTAAGGTGTAGGATTGATGGGTGGGTATGGGCTTTAGTCGGTGTGTGTTTATCGCTTCTCGGCTCTCTGAGCTAAGATCATGTGTAGTATCTGTTCTTTGCAGTGTAATTTCTGCAACGGTCTCTAAACTGAGACCAATGAAATTACCTGTATTTTTCCCTTACGGACGGGTGCTGTGAGCTTGCTCAACCCCGTCCACGGGTCGGCCTCGTATTGCATTACCTCGAGGATTGGCCCATTAATCAAACAATAAAGTTCTACTCCTACTACGAACCACTCGTCATCATCAATCACTCATCACTTACACACCACACACACTCAACCATTGCATACACAACATCTCACTCACACACGCACACCTACATACAGCTCAACAGTCACACAGTCTCCTCATATCATATCATATCATATCATACTGCACACTGACTTACCCTGCCTGCCTGGCTCTCTCCCACCAACAATCAATTTCAAAACACGCATTACCCAATGACACTAGCCTTCTCACCCTCACAAACAAACACCTACCCACCAACCCACACACACACACGCATACACACCAATTAAACAGCCTCACTCACACTGACAGCAACATCACCGTCAGCGTCACACTCATCATCACAATCACCGTCACCATCAACATCAACATCAACAAGACATTCAGCCTCATCGTCGTCTTAATCATCCAACTTGTCATAATAATGCTCATCACCGAAAGCCTACACCTAACAGTTCCTACTCTTCAACGTCCTCTCATTACAACTTCTATTGGCAAGTGGGCATCACATATTATATGCAGCCTGCTTCCTTCTTCACTCACTCAGTTCAACGTTCCTGTGTAATTAGCCTGCGATGAATCCACCAGTGAGTGAATGAAGCAATCACACAGCACATAACTGACTGATTAACATCCTGATACTCGTGGTGAAGAGAGAGAGAGAGAGAGAGACAGCTAGCTAGAGTGGATCGAGGGAGTGATAGTGATGAATAGGCCTCCCGGCTGGTTATACGAGAGCGGTAGTTGTTGGCTTGCTTGCTTGCTTTCGTGCGTGCATGCTTTGGTGACTGGCTGCTTGTGATTATGTTTGTGGATGTGGATGTCTTCATGTGTGTGTGTGTGTGTATGTGGATGGATGGATGGATGGATGAGAGTTGTGTATCTGCATGAGTGTTGGATGCATTGGCTATATTGATTGAGTGTGGTTATTTGGTGTGAATTGTGAAATGAGTAGTTTAATTTCGGTAATGAGTAGTATATGGCGTGACGGTGTAGTTGGGTGAATTGACGCGAATTCGGTGAATAGAAGCGTGATTTTGCCATTGTCTATGCTGAGGCTAGTGTTGATTGGTGTTTGTGAGAGAATGAAGTGACTGAGGTGTTGGTTGTATGCGAGTGTGTTGCCTGAACAGTGTAATGCATGCAAATGTCTTGATGAGTTTAAGGTGTAGGATTGATGGGTGGGTATGGGCTTTAGTCGGTGTGTGTTTATCGCTTCTCGGCTCTCTGAGCTAAGATCATGTGTAGTATCTGTTCTTTGCAGTGTAATTTCTGCAACGGTCTCTAAACTGAGACCAATGAAATTACCTGTATTTTTCCCTTACGGACGGGTGCTGTGAGCTTGCTCAACCCCGTCCACGGGTCGGCCTCGTATTGCATTACCTCGAGGATTGGCCCATTAATCAAACAATAAAGTTCTACTCCTACTACGAACCACTCGTCATCATCAATCACTCATCACTTACACACCACACACACTCAACCATTGCATACACAACATCTCACTCACACACGCACACCTACATACAGCTCAACAGTCACACAGTCTCCTCATATCATATCATATCATATCATACTGCACACTGACTTACCCTGCCTGCCTGGCTCTCTCCCACCAACAATCAATTTCAAAACACGCATTACCCAATGACACTAGCCTTCTCACCCTCACAAACAAACACCTACCCACCAACCCACACACATACACACACACACACGCATACACGCATACACACCAATTAAACAGCCTCACTCACACTGACAGCAACATCACCGTCAGCGTCACACTCATCATCACAATCACCGTCACCATCAACATCAACATCAACAAGACATTCAGCCTCATCGTCGTCTTAATCATCCAACTTGTCATAATAATGCTCATCACCGAAAGCCTACACCTAACAGTTCCTACTCTTCAACGTCCTCTCATTACAACTTCTATTGGCAAGTGGGCATCACATATTATATGCAGCCTGCTTCCTTCTTCACTCACTCAGTTCAACGTTCCTGTGTAATTAGCCTGCGATGAATCCACCAGTGAGTGAATGAAGCAATCACACAGCACATAACTGACTGATTAACATCCTGATACTCGTGGTGAAGAGAGAGAGAGAGAGATAGAGAGACAGCTAGCTAGAGTGGATCGAGGGAGTGATAGTGATGAATAGGCCTCCCGGCTGGTTATACGAGAGCGGTAGTTGTTGGCTTGCTTGCTTGCTTTCGTGCGTGCATGCTTTGGTGACTGGCTGCTTGTGATTATGTTTGTGGATGTGGATGTCTTCATGTGTGTGTGTGTGTGTATGTGGATGGATGGATGGATGGATGAGAGTTGTGTATCTGCATGAGTGTTGGATGCATTGGCTATATTGATTGAGTGTGGTTATTTGGTGTGAATTGTGAAATGAGTAGTTTAATTTCGGTAATGAGTAGTATATGGCGTGACGGTGTAGTTGGGTGAATTGACGCGAATTCGGTGAATAGAAGCGTGATTTTGCCATTGTCTATGCTGAGGCTAGTGTTGATTGGTGTTTGTGAGAGAATGAAGTGACTGAGGTGTTGGTTGTATGCGAGTGTGTTGCCTGAACAGTGTAATGCATGCAAATGTCTTGATGAGTTTAAGGTGTAGGATTGATGGGTGGGTATGGGCTTTAGTCGGTGTGTGTTTATCGCTTCTCGGCTCTCTGAGCTAAGATCATGTGTAGTATCTGTTCTTTGCAGTGTAATTTCTGCAACGGTCTCTAAACTGAGACCAATGAAATTACCTGTATTTTTCC